CTTCAGCACCAGCAGGCTGAGGGGGCTCTTTTCTGGGCTCTGCAGGGACTTGTGGAGTCTCTCTCAGCAGTAGAAGAGGAATATTTCTCTCTGTGTATCTCTGTCACCCCCCCTGTCTCATCCCAGAAGACAGGCTGGGATCAGTGAGTCACTCCCTGGCACACAGTGAAAACCGTCCAGTTAATTTGTTTACACTCATCCAGGAGCAAGAGAAAGATCTTTCAGAAACTTTTCTGGCTGCAAACAATTGTTTTTTTCAGAAACCAGCCCGCAAAGCTGTATTTTATCCTAAAAATATTCAAAGGGCTGAGGTCTTGGCACATGAAGGTATTACAAGCAGCTGGTTTAGAAAGCCGATGTGTGTGTGTGTTTGCGTGCATGTCTGTGTTTGCGTGTATGTGTTTCGTCTGCTGGCCTGTGCTGAGTGTATATGTGTGTATATGTGTATTCATGTACATGAATGTTTGTGTGTGTGTGCTGTGTGTATTGGGTTTGCACATGCATTCATGTGCATGTGTGCTGTGTGTGTGTGTGTTTGCGTCCGTGTGTTGTGTGTGCGGGTCTATGCTGTTTGTGTGTGTGCTGTGTATTCGTTGTGTGTATGCATGTCTGTGTGTGCTCAGTGGACACAGGAAGAGATGTTTGCTAAACACCAGCAGGACTTTTTTCGGGCTGAATTAACACATCACCAGCAGAGCGTTAATGCAGTCAAGTTAAATACCATCCCAGCCTGTTCTGGGAGCCTGCCTGACTGCACGGGCTCTGTGCCTGCCATCTGCTCCTGCTGGGAGCTACATCAGCTGCTTCCCCTCGTGTCCACTCGAGGGGGACCAGGCCTCCTGGATTTGTCTCCCCTCTCCTGGATATGTTTGTAAGCCATGAAACTGATGAAACTGCTATGGAATCAGAGACTGCTGTCCATGTCTACTATTATGGGACAACTCATCTGAAAAGGCCAAGAAGGCATCTCTTGGTTTAGGCTGTACCAATTGATTAATTAATTAATTAGGCTGCCGATCAGCTGAACATCCTGTCAGGTAATGTAGCCTGACAGATTGGTTAGTGTTTTGGTTATTCACTTGAATGGCTAATGAGGAACAGCTAGAATGTCTGGCCGCAGCCCAACTGGACTCACCTGTGTGTGACCTGGACTGGACTCCCCCTGCAGCAGCTCGGACAGGTATCTGTGTGTCGTGGGAGTTCCTGGCTGGGAGCTGCCCCTGCGTTCCCCAGGACCATCCCTCCACTCCTGTAGAAACATGAGGGGCATTACCCTCAGTATATAACACTACTAAAACTCCAGGCTGAGTATATACATCCAATGAACATATAGATATTACACCTCTAATACTCCAGACTGAGTATATTGGGCTAAGGATTGTATAGTGGCTAAGGATCTGCGCCTGTGGCTGGAAGGTTGCTGGTTCAAATCCCACAGCTGGCAGAGGAGTCCTACTCCATTGGGCCCCTGAGCAAGGCCCTTAACCCCAACTGCTCCAGGGGTGCTGTAAAATGGCTGACCCTGCGCTCTGACCCCAAGCTTCTCTCCCTGTCTGTGTCTCATGGAGAGCAAGCTGGGGTATGCGAAAAGATGAATTCCTAATGGAAGAAATTGTATACGGCTAATAAAGTGATGTTATGTTATATCACTCCACTGAATACAGTGTATATATACATACAGTATTACACCTCTAATACTCCAGACTGAGTATATTACTCCACTGAATACCGTATATATATTACACCTCTAATACTCCAGGCTGAGTATATAACTCCACTAAATATGTACAGTATATCACCCCTCTAATACTCCAGACTGTGTATATAACTCCACTAAATATGTACAGTATATAACCCCTCTAATACTCCAGACTGTGTATGTTAAATACACTTCAATTCAATTCAAAATACTTTATTCATCCCCCAGGGGGCAATTTATATAACACCACTAATACCCCGGACTGATTATGTAACACCCCAGACAGGTATTAAAACACTCCTGTGTATCTATTAAGAATGACAGTTCTCATACCAGGTGTCTTTTGAAGCATCTATCTACACAGAGAGAGAATGACACAAAACCAAGCACAAAAAGGAGCAGCCCTGAACACCTTGGTGAGTCATTTCGCCTTCCCCAGAGCCGAAGGAGGAAGGCAGTAGCACCCCTTGGGCTCCGAGCGCTTACAGAGTTGCCTGTCAATACAGACATACCGACCCAGAAGCTCCAGACTCCCCCCGCGTCCCAGCTGCCCTTACCAGCTCCTTGCCCGAGGAGGGGAGGATGTTCTCGGACTCCCCCTGGCGTCCCGACGGCCCCTGGCCCTGGCTGGGCAGGGGGTGCAGCCTCCCGTCCAGCCGGCGGACCTGCCGCTCTCCCTTGCTGCCCCCGGCGGCACTCAGCTTGCGCACGGGGTTTGTGAGCCACTTCTTGAGCGTGCTGACCGAGCGGCGCGAGGCGGGGGAGCTGGGGGC